TTCTAGTCCAACTTGATATAAATAAAAATATTTGGGGTGTAATGCCCCGAAACAGTTCCTGCTCAGAAACAAGCCTTAATATAGTTGACTTCCTTCCTTACTTATAGAAAAAGAGGTTAAGCTGAAAGATCCTTGTACCTGTGCTTATCAATTAATTACTAATATAACTGAAACTTTATCATATGTGCTGCTTCCATGGTAATAGGACTATCATTCTTTTATTGGCTACTATTAATATACTGAAAGTGTATGTTACACGAGTTTGTAGTCTTATTTCCTCCAGATGTTATATATAATTTGCTTTTCCACACACCTAAACATATATGTGTGTGCATATCCATATATACATATATACATATATGGTATGTATATATGGATATACATATATATGGGTATACATTTATGTATATGTACATATATATTTGTATATACATATATACACATATGTGTGTATATACACATACACATATATTACATAAGGATTAAATATCAAATATGCTAGGCTCTGGAGTACTGCTCAGGTTTGATCTCAGTTCTGTTATTTATTAACATGCGATATCAAGGAAGTTGCTAAATACCTCAGTGCCTCAGTTTACTATCTATAAAATCAGAATAATTACTACCTTTCTTAGGTTATATTAAATGAAATAACGTGCTTAGAAACGTGCCTAACATGTAGTCGATAAATTTGGTGATTATTATGGTACACTTGGAAGGCATTCAGAATTGTTTCATTGAATCAAATTTAACTCTGTATTAACAGAGTTCTAAATGATTTTGTTACTTTAAGGAATCAGCCATATCAGGAGAACCTAGCTGATGAAGACATTGCACATATTTATGTGATTTATGGTACTTGCAATTCTGCCTTCCAGGCCAGATTTACTTGCATGACCAAACTTGAATCTGTCAATGTACTAATGGAGGAAAGGACTATAGGTAATATTTTTATAGTTTTTGATAGAGGAAAATAAGCATATTTTCCTTCTGGCAAGTATTGATGAAAATGCTATATAGGATGAGCCTTTCTGTGTGAGTCAGTGTTGCTAGGGTAAGTAAGTATGGACAAAAGAAGCATATTGAAGTTTGGCTAGCTCAGTAGTGAAGGCTAATGGATAAGGCTTATGCAAATGCACCCCTACTAGAAATTCTGACACACTTAACTTTCCTTAACTTCTTGCAAAGTGACCTGGTAGCATGATGTTAATAGATCAAACATGTAAATCCCAATGTATATACATAACAAGCTCTGGAATCTTGCATGATACATCTCACATCACGTTGAGTAAAGAGAAACTTTCCAAATCCTAAAGAAATCCCTGTGACATATATTATCACTCTAGGTCGATTAATACCACTATGTCAGCTTATAAATTTGGGCAACTGCCTAGAACAGTCAACTTTCCTAGCAGGCCCTTGGGCAGCAATAAATTGCTTAAGAGAAAAGAGGGAAAGTCAGTGAACTCAAGTGGGGAAGAGAAATTTTTGGTTGAAGCTGCCTGAATAATGGTTATCAACCTAACTTGGTTAGAACAGATATTGCTCTGGGGTTGCCATTTCTACGCTCACGTATTGAAGATGGCAAACTGAGTTCTACCTTATGGGTGCAAAAATACTCAGAGCCGGGATGCTGTGTGGATTACTCTTACACCCATCCAATTTGTCTCATCACCCTGAAGAAGGCTGGGATTGCATTCATCATCCTCAGCATGATACATGCTTGTCTCCGCCCTTCAAGAAAAGGGATTTCTTACAGTAATTTTCACTTTCTCAGAGACATGGAAAATTCATCAGTTATTTCTTTAATGCTGACCTTGTTACGATCATTGTTTTGTTTTCCCCACTCCAGTCTATGGACACTGACATATACACTAAGTACGTGGGTATATTCAATTTGGAAGTCAAGTTCTACACTTCATTTCAGGTAAATACAAGTTATAGATCACCTATCAATTTGAGTGGTATTCTCATCCTCTGCTAGTGAATGCGCTTATTGCATATTAGAAGAATTTTAGCATGATTAACAACTGTAGAGTAGGAATTTGTGTTTATTAGCCTAATGGAATGCTATTGATCTTTTCCTAAGAATAGCATTTGCATCATAAGCTATCATTGCTTTCTTTAAAACAGCAAGTCTGATATTAACACAAGTAACCATTCATCATAAAGAAGATTAAGAAATGATACATTGCAAAATACATAAGCAGATGAAAATTATGACTCTGAAAATGAGTCCTTAAATGCATATACGTAAAATCACAAATGACTCAAGTAGCATTTTCAGTTTTGTGGGGGAGAAGGAAAGCCTTGGGCACTCATCATATGCCAGATGTCCTTGACACTTATATCGTTTAAGCTTCACAAGCTATAAAGTATGTATTAGCAAGAAGAAGATGAGGACTTCATAGCCTGTGGTCCTTCCAATTGCACACAGAAGGAACCAGATAAAACTTAACCCTCATCTAGCGTTCTATACTTTATCTTCTCTTTAAGTTTCTCCTTGTCTCCCAGTTAAGATTCTCATTGCCTATTTTCCCGGGAACCTATAAGAAAAGTGCAAAGGGACCTGGGCACATTGGCACCAGAGATATGTTGAAGCAAGAGAATTTTGGGGTCCTGTCAAATCACTCCAAATCAATTGCTTCCTCTTGGGCCTACACCTAAAGCCACCCTTTCCAACACTGAAGCAGTTGAGACCTTGAAACAAAATGAACCACAAATAAATGCAAATGGAAAAGAACAAGTGTTCTTAACCTTTATCCAAACTGGCAATACATAATGCAACCATATAATGCCAACTGTTAATAGAGAGATACTACTACTGTTGGAGCTATATATGCCTTGATGAGTAAGCCTCCCTGGATATTTAGAGACTGAGCAACAGCAGACATCATCAAAAAAGCAGAAGATGCTAATGGTAAAGATAATCAAAAGAGGGCAAGAAAGTTCAAGTCCTACACACGCTCCATCAGCTGCAATGTTCTTTCAACTTCAGACCCCTACATGCCACAGAATGACCAAGACAGATAGCTTCAGTGGCCATCTATTTTTATTTTATTTATCTAACACCTCTAAATAACAATCATTATCAAATTGTTAGTGTGCATCTAGGACACTTCCAAAAGAAATAAATCAAACAGTAAAGTACCACTCAGATAACAATGAATTCAGGGTTTAGGTTTCCTAACACAAGGTATCTGTTGAGTTCCTAATAAAAGAGATCATTTTAAGTGTAATTTTTTTAGAATCTTTTAAATTATTAATAGCTTTATATAAAAAGTGTTTAATGTAGATAATTATGAACAATAAAAAATATACTTACGAATATACTTATGCAAGAAAATGAAGACTGAAAATGTCAGATTATCAGCAAATAAATGTGGAAGTCAGAAAGATATTATAAGTAACCTGTAACAGTGACTTGTTCTAATCCTGCAAGGACCTTTATCACTATCAGTATATAGTTATTTCTGCTTAGCTGGAATCTCAACCTGCCTTCTGGTTGTAACAAAAAACTATTCAATTAAAACATTGAATTTGTCCAAAAATCAGAATGTTTATCAAGTGGAAATTTAAATCACAATAACATCTGCTATTTTTCACCCCAGGTCGCTTCCATTGCTACAACTGGCATACTGCAAGTTTCTAGCACCCTCATGTGGTTTCACTGGAGCGGTTTCATAGACATTTAAAATCAGTTTTCTGAAACTGAAAACAGTGGAACAGACAATATATAATTCAACGTGGAAGTTCTGTGGGCATCATAAACCAAGAAAGGAAACCCCAAGTCAGCAAAATGGTAAGATGTATAGGCTCGATTCTTAACTTACTTGCTCTCTGCGGTTCATTATATGTGATCACTGGAAAGGATGACATACAAGCAAGATTGGAACTGCCAGTTTTTAAAACCAAGCATTTGTTGTGGGCAATTGTTGAATATATGAAAAAAAACCTCATTTTGCTCAAAAACTAAAGCAAGTGCTTTTAGTGCCCAGTTTGTGTGCATCTTGTTTAGGTAAACAGAACAACACAAGTATATGCAGCAGTCACTAAATAGTTGAGAGATCAAAGCTGCCCTCATCCACATTTTTAGTGATTAAATTTTCTACATTTTCTCAAATCATTTGAGAACAATTTATATAAACAAGTTTTTCCCTCTCTAAATATATGTCTAAGCTTACAGGTGGGACTTCTTTCTAATAGTATTGTATTTCAGAGCCCTCTGAAAGGGAGAGAAGCTAAAGAGGATTATAGTTTGTTCCTTATATTGATAATAAATGCTCCTCTTATAAAAAATACATTTTAAAAACCTCCCTGTGATTTCATAACCTGAGGTGACCCAACAGTCTTTCCACAAAAAATTAGAAAGTAGATCTTAAAACACTGACATTATCAGAAAAGTCTGAACATGAAATTTTTTAAATAATTGGCCATGAAGGAGATAAAAATGTAAATTAGTGAGAGGTAAAGAGCCTACCAACAGAAACTTGAATGTGGCTTATTTGTATGCTGAACTGGTGGTCCCAATGTTAAATATATCAGTAGAATGCAAGAGGAATACACATGTTCATCAATATACAGCAATGTGTAGGTTGATATTAAAAGAGAAAAGTAGTCTTTAGAACTCAGAAAATGTATAGAAAACAGGAATACTGCTTAACTGATTATTCAAATTTAAGTCTAGGTAATGTCAGACAATTAAAGAGCACATGAATTCATAAATCATAAATGTAGGCTGATTTTTATAAATTCAAAGACCTAATGAAAACATCATTATTTTTTGCAAGGGTGGTGGTAAAAGATAGTTCAAATATTAATAGCTACCTTTCAGTAGGTAAGCATCTAAAAACTACCATTTCTTCTGGCTATGGCTACTGCTTTCCAACATTTCCATTTACCTCATTGAAGCATAATTTTAGCTGAGTGTTTAAGGGCAAGAGGAAGACTATTTAAGATTACAAAGAAGATATCTGAGTTTAACCAGAGCCATACTGCCTTACCTGTTGAGCCCCTTCAGTGTCTTTTCCATGTTTAAAATGTCACGCATCTTATACAAAAACCACTTGTCAATGTATGTGAGCTTCATAACCTCATCAAGGGACATGTTGTCTTCCAAGGCCTGCCAAAGGGGAAAAAGATACTTTTCTTTGGCAAACGTTTTATAAATGTCTTATTTGATTGAAAACATGCAGCAGCCATTCCTCTCCATGTCATTCACAGAGCCTGAGGCTACAGACTGAGACATGAAACATGAAACTGATATAATATCATTGATGTTGTTCCCAATAAACCTACAGATGTGGTCAACTATATCCATGATGGCATACAGAGGAGAGGCCCTAGGTAATCAGAGCAGTGTGTACTCAGAAGAACTCCCTTACCAAGCTCGGCTTCCTGCTCTTTATATGACCAGGTTACTAGTTATATCCTAAATTGGGGGCATCTCTTTGGAATTAAAGGGAATCTCTTGAAACTACAATTAAGTTAAATTTGTAAGAAAATCTAGAATCATTATAATGATCATTTAACTTGTATTTTGGATAATTACCCATTAGCAAATACCATACTTTTATCACCTCATTCCACATTCACACAAACTAGTCAGTGGAAATGTATGGATCAAATCTGGACTGGTGTTATTTCTCTAGAATAGTCCATCACAGAGGACTTCAAACAAAAAAACTATTTGCATCAGTTACTATGACTTTTGTGCTAAGACAGGCATTTTACAAAATCTTAATATATTCCAAAATGATGTAATAATAACTTCAGCCTTTTTCTGAAGCTTACTTTCACAATTTCCAAAAAGTAAAATTACAACTGTGAGTCATTAGGCTACGTAGATAAGGCAACTGAAAGAAGAGGAAACTCTTAAAACAAAGACTTTCATCTTCAAAAGACTTCTACTCTTATTCATTATTTTATATATATACTCTCTCTATATATACATATATATAGAGAGAGTATATATATAAAATAAACAACATATGTTATATACATTTTTGTCATATATTTATTCTATATTTTATATATATACATATATACACATAAATATCAAATAAAAATAATGATGACTTATTTTAAATCAGCATATTTTAGAATGGCACACTGTATTTTTATATCCCATTAAAAATACATGTAACGAGTAACTCTGTTGTTATATATCAACCTAGGGACTTTAATTTATTTTTAATTTTTTCTTATTTCTAGTGTCAGACAGACCATAATTATAGGTGTTGAGATATAGCTTGGCTCATACTTTTGTTGACTATAGAATAAGATGACATCTAATGGGGCTACTCACAGGCATGTTCACTTCATAATTCTGTTTATGTTTCTTTTGTTTAATTCTCCCTATAATTATAGCCAGGTCCCCAAGTACTTAATATTCTGTCTTATTTTCCAAGCAATTAAGACACAATTAACTGGTGGCCATCAACACTGAGAGGGGGACAGAACCTGAAGTCACTGCACCTTTGACAGACCAAAGGACATTTTCACACACTCACGCCAAGTAAACTCTCTGCAATTGATGGAGGACCTAGAATCCTGTAGCCCTTTCACAGTGAGGAAGGACAAATACAGTCACATCGGCAGCCTCAAACAGAAAGCAAGATCCTGCCCATCTTGGGACTTCATCTTCAAGCACTGCAGCCTCACCATGCCACGCGGCTGTAATGAAGTTCATGATGACTCCAAGCAAGTTTGAGGTGACTCTAATGTTCCCCAAATCAAAAATAATGCCCTGTTTTCTCCCCAAATCAAACGAGGTGATGATCCAGTCATCCTGAAATAAGACTGCTGCAAAAAGCAGGCCTCAGAGCAAGTTGCCCTTTTCTAAGAATTATGAAAGCGAGTGAAGATTTACACACTCCCTTCACTCCTTTTCGCCTTCAGCCCTCCACAGTTCTTACACTCTTTGTCAAAATCACCAAGCTCTTGGTTGCTGTGGAAATGAACAGTAATGATGACCTCTAACAAACAGAAATCAGTCCCTTCTCCCGGCACTCTGGCAGACAATAACTTATACCTCAGACCCTGCACCTCTGGCTCGTGTATAGGGTACTCTGTGCAAGAAAGAATCTCTACACATTTTCCCTGAATTCTCATCCTTTATACGTCTGTTAGAAAAGAGTGAGAGATTTGTTTGAGTTTTACAGCCTTGCTGGGAACTTGGAAATACTTCCCTTTTTTATCTGCCTCAAAATGGCAGAAGCATGATAACTGGATTTAAGGAAAAAATCCATTTCCTGCCTTTTGTCTGGAAAAAATTATATATAGAGAGAGGCATAAACATATGCATATGGATGTGATAGATTGCTTTTTAAACAAAAGACTGAAATAGAAACAATAAAGGCTGAAATAGGAACTATAGAAATGGTTTTCTATAGTAACCTTTCTATCACTCTCACCACCACAGAAAAATGTTAATTCTCTATTACCTTGAAATTCAACACTGAAAAATGTCTATCAAAAGATACTAGCAACTCCCAGAATTTCAAATGGAATTAAATATTCTGTGTTTAGAAACCATAAAGGTGAGGAGAGTATACATTATATGCAATGAAGGAAACATTCCCTCCCTTCTTTCTCTCTCGGCTGGACCCTGAATATATGGGCATAAAAGTTGCAGTGGGTTCAGAATCACTAACAGCATTTTTCTACTGTGACAAAGGCAAATTACAAAGACAGATTCCCCTTTTAAAGACAAAATTCTTATTCTCATTCACTCATCCCGCATATCCGCATGCACATATAAAATGGGCAGTGGGGTTTTGTAGCTCCAGTGTGGTGTGACGCTGTTGGAGGATTAAGGCCTAAGCTTCCTTAAATGTCAAAAAGCCATTCAGGGATTTCTGATCAGACAGATCCCAGCTGCCCAAGTCACCTTTTATAAAATCAGATAAGCTGAAACTTCAAAACTCTAAGCATAGTAAACATGAAAGGAGATTAATATGGCATTCAATTTGCATAAAAGGGAACAAGTGAAAAATCTGGGCTTTTTTGTTCTAAAGGTAAGACCAATAAAATAATGACAGAAAAAAGCCTGTCATCATCAAAGTTCTTTGTAGTCTGTTGTTGCTTACACACAGAAAAAGAAGCAAATAAGTAGAGAGTATTCTAGAGTCCTAGGTTACCCATACAAAGTGATAAGATTTTATGCATCCTCCTTTCAAAAATACAATTTTACACCTTTTCAAGGAACAAGTCATGAGAGTGATAAGAAGTGACAAGTAAATATTATCAAATGTCCTTAAGAGTATTGATACGATATGTACTAAACAGGAGGAACATTCAGTCTATGTGATCATTTCTTAAAAATGCAATGTGCCCTTAAGTCCAGGCTTAAAGTCCAATAAAAAAGGGTAATTTTTCATTAATTATAGATGTCTCCAGCTTCATATTACTGAAGATAATTAAAAGTTTTCCCCAAATCCCTGAATTCAAGATCACTTCATGATTCAGTTTTACTTTCCAGTGCAGGCTGACTATATTTAGAAAAAAAAAAAACAGTAGCTTGGGCCCCTTGTCATGGATTACCTTGGCAATGGCATAGATGCGGGTGCTGGATGGCTCAGCCAGCTCTTTTCTGAGATCTAGGTTTGATGGCCAATCTTTGTTCATTGGGAGTTGGGAAGTGAAGCCATTTATAGACGGGTGGCACATCCGTAAAGCCTTCTGGAAACTCTCCTCAAAGGTGCGACCAATAGCCATGACCTGCAATACACATTTAAGAGCTCATATTTAAAGAAAGAACTTAGAGTTTTTAATTTGGAACAGAACTATAAAAAGAACATTTTCCAGAAAAGACTTAGAAATAAGACATGCGTGTATGTCAAAAGAATACTACTCAAATTTAGGTATTATTTTTCTTCCTCTCTCCTTTTCTCTATGGTTTTGATATAGTGATTCTTCACTATTAGGCCAGTGTTTTACCACTTAGGGAATTTAGCTATATTTGCTGAGACTAACGAGGAAATCACCTTTATCTACCTCGGACTTTAGTATCAAAATAAAGAATCTGTGGCAGAGAATATCGATTTTTGTGCAGATGTCTTTTAGAATAGAAAGCAAATGAAGAGAAACCAGACATATATTAACACAAAAAGAGAACTATTTCTAAACAGGTATCAGTCAGTGTCCAAGACATGTTGACTTTCTCTATAGCTAAGCATCAATATTAATAGAACCTTGAGAATAATAACAAATACTGACAGATTCAGATTTTGAGTGTAGGTAAAGACTAAATTCCCTGTGACAAATTCAATGTGTCTTCCCACAGTCTTTACAGCTGATTGTACACTAATCAATTAGAAAAACCATGTGGTGATTTAGTTTGTACAAGTTACAAGTCAAAACTAAACTTAAATTGACTTTGAGGCCTACCCAGTTATTTTCAGTGGATAAACACTATCTTTGAATCTTTCCATTGAATAATAGAGTGCTATGCATTTTGGGTTTCCAATTTAAAATAATAACAATCATAACACTGTCATCAGTAAACTTCCATGATTCCTCAAATAGACCCGAATTCCGATGAATGTCAATTTGGTAAACCTTCATGTCAATTGTGTGACAAGATACATATTCAAAGATCACAAAAGCCAAACAGATAACCTTTTCTCACTGCTCCAAATTTAATTAGAAACAAGGGAAGATTCTCAAGAGCAGGAATAAATAAAATGTTAGTCCAATTCAGATACGCAATTTGCCAGGCATAATGGTGTTTAAAGAGTTGGACAATATGTTCACAGCTTTGCCAGCCTTGGCATGGGAGAGAGTGCCAGAAATAAGATGCTTTATGGCACTATCAGATTAAGAAAATATTTTTGGAATATTTAATAAAATATGTAAGCATTACATATTTAAAAGTTGGCCCTAAAGTAACTAGTTCTATAAGTGACTCACCATAAATTTTTATTATTATTTAAGCACACTATACATAATGGTATATGGAATAAATGCAATAAAAGAGAAGCAAACATATTTATATATTAATAAAGGAATCTATAACTGTGTTTGCTCAAAATTTGTGCTTTTTAATACTTTATATTATTAAAATTCACATTCATTAAGTAAAAATTTTACCATTTTTTTTCAGTGGAATAACTATTATGCATTCTCTTACCATATTCTGCTACATTCTAACAGCATATGTATATAAATATTGTATTTTAACTTTTATCACAGTTTAATTCATATTATATTTGGTTCTGTTTACATATTCTGAATTTACCAACTACAGATAATGTGTCACAATTAACATCTTATTCACTGTTTTAGCCTTCCAGTGCCTTGCATGTAGTAAGATCTCAGGAAATGTTTACTAACTTGAGTTGAAATAAATGTAAGGTGTTAAAACTAACTGACAACAAAAATCCCTCAGATAATACATTTAAAATAAAAATATTACAAAATTATCTCACATTCTTTAGCCTACAAATTTTACTGTGAACATTTGAAAAGGGAGACTTCACACAAAATGTAAACTAAATAACAGTCGTTTACTTGGCAGAAACACTACCAACAAGACTTTTCATGGCATTTGAGTTCTAATTCTATTGTGTACCTTGAAGCATGATGGAAAAAATAAGATTTAAAACAACTATGAAGGAAGAAAAACTACTACTTGTCTTTTATAACTAGTAAGACATTTTCATTTTAAAGGTCAAGTTGTTCCTTATCTGTCATTACTTTAAAATCTTCCATTAATATCTTGGAAACTAAGGAAACCAAAATCGTAACAGTTCTGCCTTTCACATGTGAATATGGTTAATCAGTAAAATGCCTTTTTTTTTTCTTTTCCCCTGCATTGGTGATGGATGTAAGCTGTATTTCCTGTGATTAGTGGCATGCATCTCTGAAATGGCCAGTCTGAGTTTAGGCTATAATCTATGTCATGGGAGAAATGAAGTCCAATATAGAACAAAAGGTCATAAATAATTTTTGCTCTGTAATATGACTTGCTTGGACACCTAGACATAGAGCTCCTACACTGACCATAAAGAGATGGAGATGAGATAAAGTAAAATAGATAGATAGATAGATAGATAGATAGATAGAAAGACAGATATTGAGATTCATGCATACTAAATTCAAAATTCTACCCATAAACAATGAAAATAATACTGATGCAATACTTTTATAGGAAGTGTGCTATGAATCTACCTTAAAAGACATTACGAAACATTTATATGTATTAATCCTAAGCCTTATAAGAACTTCACAAAGCAGGTATTATCATCTTCATTTTTCAGATGGTGGACCTGAGACTCAGTGTTTTGCATGAGTGTCTCTAGATAGTAAGTGGAAACACCAAGAGTAAAACCCAAGTTCATCTGGTCCCAAGGCTTATGTTCTCTCTACTATGCTAGGCCTCCTGGATGCAAAGTGAAATAACCCCTCCGTGGGGGAGACAAGAGACTGAATCTCAGAGGTAGGGTCTGAATTTATTTCCTTACACCTGCACAAAGAGCACTGTTTCTTTGCAGATGGAATAATCAAAAGCTAACTTTAATTTAAAACAGAACATTATGTAAAATTGAAAAATGATAAAAGCTTAGAACATTTCAGGATAATAAAAGGGGGCTTAACAGTCCACTATGCTCTTCTCAATTTAGAATTTTAGAGCTACAAAGGCCATGAGAGATCTTCTAGTCCAGCTCCTTTCTTTTATAGATGTGAGAAGAGAGGTCTGCAGAGATTACAGCCATAATTGGCTTAAATGGACTAAAGTTGAATTCTTAACCTCTCAGTTCAGTGATCTTTATGGTACACCATGTTGACTTTTATAGCGTTTTATTTTCTTGAATTGGTTATAACGTATATAACAATTCAATTATATAAATGTGAATGTGTTTTCACATATGTGTATATATTATATATCCACATATATAGCCTCTCCTTTTTAATGCTCTTAGAATGCTAGAATGTGTAGATGCTCTTAGATCCATTAAACAGTCATTTAGCAAATGCCTTATGTTAACTGTCACATAGAGAGATGTTGAAACACTAGGAAGGAAATGAAATTCCTATATATCATCCAATCAAGAACCCAGTTTCCAGGCAATCTTAAGACTTTCAGCAGTGTCAAAAATTTGTCAAAATAACAAGAACAAGGACAAAATAAAGGAATAAACCAAGGACTCACCTCTCCTACACTTTTCATAGAGCTACCAATTCGACTAGATGTTCCATGAAAACGATCAAGATCCCAGCGAGGAATCTTAGTCACCATGTAATCCAGGCTTGGTTCAAAGCAGGCTGATGTCTTCCCTGATACAACGTTCTTGATTTCTGGAAGTGGAATTCCTAGGGCAATCTTTGCAGCAATGAATGCCAATGGGTAGCTGTAAAGGAGGAAAAAAATTTAGGTTTTTTTCTCTCAAAAATAAGAATTAAGAACAGCTGAAAACATAAATTCATCTTTCTTAGGGATTCTGGTATTATTCCACATAAGGGTATAAAACACACCTGATTCTCTGTTCGGTATGAATATTTAATAGTCACTTATAAAATAATGTGAGTCATAATAAAGTTAAGAGGCACAGATCCTAAGAGAATTCCTTCTCTATGTCTGACATGCAGGCTACAATGCCAAACCTTCACTTCTTCAATCCAGAATCAATCGCTTCCTTGATAAGTAAAGAACTCACTTGTCTAAAACCTCCACTAAGATAAGAATCTACAAAATATTCTTTTGAAAAAAATATATACGCATCTGCACCTGGAAAGATGTGGAGTTAGCTGATACTATGGGGCATGTGATCGTCAGAAAATGTAAGCATTGCAAGTTTAGGTCCTTGCTCTGTCTCCAAATTATCTTTGAACTTTGTATTCCTTACAAAACTAACACTCTGGGAACTTGACTGCCCTCCTCTTAAATGTCAGTTTTGGTAATTGTACTTGATGAAATAATTCATAGAACTATAGAGTTACATACGAGCCCTTTAGTACAACTCCCCCATCTAACAGGTGAGGAAGCTGATAAAGATTATAAGTGATGTGTTCAAAGTCACAGAGTCAGTAGAAGAATCAGAAGGAGAACTCAGGTCTCCTGACTCTTGCCTGGGGCAACATGCCTTCTACCAGTCCATGCAACACTGTGTAGCTACATAAAAAAAATCTTTGGTGGTAAATATTTTAGTCATTTAAACACCATACAATTTTAATGCCAGATGCTAAAATATATTAATAGAAACAAAAAGTATTCCCTCCAGTTATGCTTGCTAGCAGTTTTTAAATGAACAGCAAATTTATTTGGTTGCACCATTCACCTATAGAAAAAAATCCTATATTATTTCGTCTTGTGGAGCTTTGCTAAAATAAAATAATGTGTATTGAACGCTTGAGTGAAGTGAACTATATTATTTGTCTACCATTTGCTACACCTGAAGAAGTCAGTTGAGGACTAAATTTAAGGATTAATTTGCACTTTTTAACAACATCTGCAAAGTTTAATTAAGAAGCAGATTTTTCTCAGCCTCCTTTGACCATCCAGATTTTGATTAGCTTATGATTAGCCAGCAAACAAAGCCAGCTACCAATGCCATTTGCCTCAATCTGGCAGCAATCTCATTAATAACTATGTCCTTAGGGTCCAAAATGATTTGGAGCCAGCATACAGAAATGGGGATGATAGTTTGTAAATGTAGCACAGTCTTTACTAGCTGTCAGCTTTCAAGTTCTCTCTGTGAAGAATCTGCAAACCCTTGGTCCATCATTCTGATCTTACCCAGTGGCCTTTGAGGCCAAGGCAGAGCTTCGGGACAGTCTGGCATTCACTTCAATGATGCAGTATTCCATTGAGGTAGGATGAAGGGCAAATTGAATGTTGCATTCACCCACAATGCCCAAGTGGCGAACGACATTGACTGAAGTACGTCTCAACATCTGAAACTCCGCATTGGAGAGTGTCTGGGCAGGGGCCACAACAACTGAATCACCTGCACATCCAAGCAGCACTCATTATTTGGTAGCATATCTCAATAACCGACTTTAGTGACTTCACCTATTTGTGTTATACCAGACACAAAACTGTCTAACAGTTTATTGGGGAAAGAATTACCTTAACGTCATTCAAAGAAGGAACATCAGGTAGTATTTCCTCTGATTCTTGTTTTACCTGTATTACTCTGACACATTATTTACAGAAACCCCATCTAACCTTTCTCAAATTCATCTAGCTGTCAAGGCCTCAGTCATCTATTGTACTTACTGGAGTGACATTAACTTCTTCATTTTTTCTTCTCTTCATCTCAAATTCTCTCTCTCTCTCTCTCTCTCTCTCTCTCTCTCTCTCT